TCACTGAACTTCTTGCTAAGTGCAATATACATAAAAGATCGGATAGCCCCCGAGTCGAAAAAAACACGAGCAGTCATAACATTGACTAGAAACATCCCTAAGTAGTTGGAGCGGGTGTCACCATTGCCACTCCTGATAACCTCAGATAGTCGGCCTTCTTGTGGCCTATCTGATTGCAATGAAGCAAATCAGACCTGATCCCTAAGGACAATCCTGGCTAATATGACTGGCCTTGACGCACCTGTAGCAGCCGAACCCACTGATTGACAAACTCCATCGTGTGATTTACCACAATTTCCACAATGGCCCCAACCCTGCTAGCCTCTATATTACAATTCATAATTCTTGTCTTTTTTGTTAGGCCCTCAACTGCCTGAGTCTGAGCTGGTTTCCGCTTCGCCCAAAGCTCCAACTCAGTCTCTCGCTCTCAAGCTCTGTCAAGCATATCCTCCAAATTCCTGCATCCCGAAATGCTAACGAACTCCTTGATGTCATCCCCCAACATATCATGATATCTCGTCTTCTTCATCTCCTCATCTGCAACATATTGTGGAAGCAGCAAAGCTCTATCCCTGAAGTTGGTCATGATTCCGCCACAGTCTTTGGCGTATGACGTAGATCCAAAAACTCTCTCGCCAACTGTTGCACCTTGATAGTTGGTGCAAACTCAGATGTAAACCTAGTAACAAAATCTACCCAGGTCATGGCCTCCCCGGCCTCCGCTCCCAAAGCATGACCAAACTCCTCCCACCAGTCGCAAGCTCGATCCCTCAGAAGGAAAGATGAAAAACTCACCCTTGATCCCTCATGGTAGAAACTCATCCGCTGAGCGCTCTCCATGTTTGTAATTCATCATCTACTGGAAATGGGGTCCTTCTTCCCGAAGAACTATGGGGGCTCACAAGAATTAAACTCCCGAAAGGTGAGAGTTCATGCCCCAAACTGACCAACTGCTATCTCGATACTAAAGTCCCCTAGGTGCTCATCTAGTAACTCCATAATCCTCTCCTTGATAATACCGAACATCACATGGGTCGGATCCAAGATACCGTGTGTGATCTCTAATGTGATAAACTTGTGTATCCTCTCATCAATTTGTTCATCATCAGCGCCTAAACTGGAACCAGAACCTCGGGTAGTCGCCACCATACTGAAAGTCAACAATACAAACGATTAGAACATACCCGAAGAATCCATCATGCTATAAGCTCCTTAGAATTTATGTGACTCTCCTTGATTTGAGTACGGGTCATGTGCTTCCAGTAGTATGGTCCCAATATTGCCTTCCACACTTATTCGTACTTCCCTTAAGAATCATCTTGAATCCTCTAAGTCACTTCACTACGACAACTCTCATAAGTCCTATGTTAAATAGCATACATAACTTACTACAAAGCTTCCTAGTCTTTCCTAGGAATCCTCCAACTCGCTTCTGCATTACTAGGAATCTCTAACAAAACCGTTGGTTGCCTCGTGCATGCAAATTATACACAATACAATATCAAATAGACTGTCAAATAAATGATCCTACCCTAATCCCATAACCAAACAAGGAACAAGAAATAAGGCTAAATCAATCATCATAAGGCTATATCATCCTAATCATGTACAACTTTAAAACATACACTTAGCAATTAACGCTATCAATCTAGACTTCATGTAACACATAACAAACAGTTCCCTAGGCTAGGCATCACAGATGCCAGTAAATTCTATCATGCAAATCCTGAAGGGATCCTTAGCCCTAATCTAGCATGCAGCTAACATAATAACATACTAAAGCATAACATCAATGTATGGGTATTTTGGAAATCACTTACTTGCGTTCGTTTGATTGCACGCATCATACCCCTTTTTCTTTACAAATATACTTTTATTTTTAGAAAACATTTACAAATCCTCAATTTGAGTCCAGACACACCCGAAGGTGTATCTGAATTCCTTAAACCAAGGCTCTGATACCAACTTGTAATTCCCAAAAAATACTAAGTAAATATTTTTGATTTCAAATCACCAAACCATACAACCGTTTAATCGAAACCAACCAATATATATAATTCTCAAAAAAATCACAGTGCGATCAGATCAGGCCCTTTCCCTAGGAACAAGAAGTACCTGAAACATTTAAAAATAAACTGTAGGCACAAAGCTTAGTGAGTTCCCTGAAATACCACATACCATACGTAACATAACGGGTCTATTCCAACCCCAAGTGCATGCTATGGGAAAATCATAGTCTTGCCATCACTTCCTTCTATGGGCCAAATCATGGTTTTTACTTGTACAAGTGTCAGGGGTTAGATCCTATTCTTCCATACAATTGCCATGGGCCAAACCCTACTCTTTCATGCAAATTCCAGGGGGGGTGAGGGGGCAAACCCTAGTACTTCATACAAATGTTGAGGGCCAAACCCTGGTCTTCCATGCAAAAGTCACAAAGACAACTAGTATCTTACATAGTATAGTGAGAAAACTCACCTCACAAACGTAGTCGTTGACTAGCAGGCTCACACGGTAGAAAAAGCAGGTGCTACACACCTCCTAATGAATCAAAGAATGTAAACTCTCAATCTACCTTCTAAATTTGGTCATTTGACTAAAAGTTAAACCAAGTCAAAAAGTCAATGGTCAAAGTCAACTCTAGCTGACCTCTACATCGTGGCCAGCCAATGGTTGCGTCCTAGCCATCCTACATGTTCTCGTAAAAAATCTGCTACCATGTCGTGGTAGTCACGCCACCACGTCATGGTAAAGTCCAGACAAAGCGGCCACGACCAGACTAGTCTCCATGTCATGGCCAACCAATCGCCACGCTGTGGAAACTTCATAAAGACAGCTTAATGGATTAAGCCTTCAATCCGTTAAGCCTTCAGTTCCAACTTTCCAGAATGCTTATTGGGACCATAGTAGTTCATAAAAATTCAAAGTTTATGGATATTTATGTCCTTCCCCAAACTAGGTCAAGAAAAGAGAAAGGTGACCTAAAACTTGTAACATCCTGTTTCAAGAAGTTTCCTATTTCGGGAATTATGGTCATTGGGCGGATCAAGTATAGGCCTTGGGATTCAAAGGATTAGGGTTTAGACTCAATTGTATGTGGATGATATAGGTTATGTGATCCAAGCTCTCGGTTTGTGTTTTGGAGTCAAAGGGTATAATGGTAAAAGTGATGGTTCGGACTTCTTCATGAATTAAGGATTCTAGTTCGGTAAGTTTTGAGTCAAAGGATATTAGATGGGATTGTAGGACTTTTCATTACCTTTTTGAGCATATTAAGAACACTGAAAATGGATTTGGGATGCATAAGTTATGACCATTTGAAGTTATGAGGGAAATGGGTTTTGGCCTATACGTTGGGGGTACATGGCATGTACGTTGTGCATACTGCATGAAAGTGGTGTGGTTATCCTTTGAGTACGTCGGGCGTACATAAGGGTACACATGGCATACCCACATGAATATTAAACCCAATTTTTAGGGTTTGGACCCTATAAAACTAATGGATTTTCTAGGTTATAAACAAAATTACATATGGCGGAAAAACACTTAAACCCTTAAGTTCACATACAACCTAGAAAGGATCTATGTTTTCTTTTTTTATTGCAACTAAATATGAATATCAAGAATCCCTAGGAGAGAGGCTATGAAATTGAAATCATACTAGATTAGAGTTATATACCTTTTGATTATTATTTTAAATAATCAAAGTAAAATCATTCTTCAAGATCTTGGAAAGCTAGCACCAAAGAAATGGATGTCTCTAATGGCTTGTGCCCAAAACACTAGTAGCCTTCCTTGTCTAATAAACAAAGACCAAAAGATTTTTTATTAACTCTTAATAACTAATGCTAAATATTTAATAAAAACTTTTATTAATAAATAATTACTTATTTATTTTCCCCACTTAATAAATAACAAAATAACAATTAATTCTTATTTATTAATTGTTGGTAATAAATATTTATATATTATAAATATTATTTTTATATTTTTATATGATCCTAAGTATATTACCTCATTGGTTCATATTAGGACAACCCATATTATATTTTTTTTTTTCTAAACATCGTGTAACACTCGTATTTTGAAGCTAGAATTTTTGGCATTTTGAGCAAATTAGATTTTTGGAAAAAAAAAATTAAGTAAAATAAAAATAATTTAACTAAAAAAATAAAACTATTAAAAAGAAATTATATAAATTAATTGGATAAATTTTGTTGGCGAAAGTTAAAGTTTCAAAGTTGCTAAAATGTTTAGTTAAGGTTAAATCAAGATTATAGTTTTAGGGGCTATTTTTGCTAAGTTTGGGAAACTTGTATGTGGCTTGGATTTAACTAGGTAAACTATTTATTGAGGACTTAATTATACTAAATTGGTACTTATAAGCTTAATTAAGTTACACTTTCTAAGTTGGAAATGTTGGTAAATGCTTTTATGGGGTACCAAATGTGCTTATTTACTTTGCAATATGGACCAAACTTGTAACAAACGAGATAGTTGGACCAAAAATGTTATATACATACACCAGACATTAGGGAATGTAACTTACTCTTAAACTTTTGATGTGCTTACCTAGAACAGAAAGAGACTTGTGGTCATAGAATGATATTACAGAAATACATTTTATTAAGACGGAAATTTCTTCGGCAATCCTAAAAAAAAACAGAAATTTATTAAAACTTAAAAGTGTGCTTTTTTCTTTTGTCAAATTTGAAAAAACGACATTGTATTTTCTTAAGATAATAGAAAATAAAAAAATATTTTTATGAGACGAGAAAGTAATAAATTATTATGATTTTGTTTTCGTGCTGTCCATGCGCATGGTCTTGAACTTGCCGTTCATTGATTTGTCTCTTTGTTAATTAAATTTGTTTCTAGTTCCAAATGAGATTATGAGACTATATGCCAAAAAATTCAATCCTTTATTTAAAACAACGATTTTGCATTTCTTCCTTCTCTCTAGTTAGTAGTTATCAAAACGTATAGCTTGAAGCTCTCATATGGATTCAGTTGCTACAAAATCTGAAGCAAGTCTAAGAAGGCGTAACTCATTTAGCACGATAAGTGACGCATCAAGTACAATTGTGAAAAGACGGCGTAGATGTCCATCTATGCTAGCATTGAATGATCCCACGACTAACAGTGAGGGAAACCAGATTCAGACATCAACAACACCGCTTGTTGATCAATCCACCACCACCACTACCCCGACCACTGTTAAGAGAAGCTCCAAGTATCGAGGAGTTAGCAGGTTTGGACACTTAACAGATAAAGTTCATGTCATAAATGGGCAAGGCAATTACTCCTATTTTTCTCACTAGTTAACATTGTTTTATCACTATTTTAAAAAAGTATTATCAGAAAGTAAGCAGCTCAAACTTTGTGTTTATAAAAATCTTTTTTTTATGGTATTTTCCGCACAATCTTCCAATTATTTATTTCCAGTGGTCTATTATTTTAAATAATGGTATTTTGTAATAAATAATAATAAAAAAGAATAGTTCGTTGCCCATTTAAGATATTAACCCTTACATATATAATTTTTTTTCAAGAAACGTCGAGTGTGGGGTGCCCGGAAGTATGGGCAGTTGCCCCCTTATAAACTACAATAAGTTAAAAAGTCATGTATATTGTTTAAGGTTTTTTTTTCTTTTTTTTTTTTTTTGCAGAATTTCGTAGATAACTATGTTCATTTTTTTCTTAATCTCATTTTCGTCATAACTTGAAGAGAAAAAATATTACTTGTTCACCCATGGTCAACGGGATGGTTGTTTTATTTTTAACGGTGGGAAGTTTTCTTGACAATGACATTTAAAACTTCTTGATATATGTGTTAAGATTCTAACAAACTTTTGTTTTGTGAAATGTGAATTAATGATTGAATAACGGGTTTTATGAATTTATAGGCATCGCTGGACCGGAAGATACGAGGCTCATTTATGGGACAAAGGGTCGTGGAATGCGACACAAAAGAAGAAAGGAAAACAAGGTTGGTTATGTTGATCTTTATTAATGCTCACAAACTTGAGTCAAAATTAATTAAAGATAATGCAAAAAAATTGTCCATTTGTTTCCTTTACTATAAATTAAGTTGCTAATCCAGTTTCTTTATTCATATGTATATGTTGCAACTATTTGGATGAAGCAGTTTATCTTGGTAAGAAACTAATAAATCAACATCAAATATATATTATTTCATAGTCTTATTTCAAAACTACAAGAGAGTAAAATGCAAATGATTTGGATTTGCAAAATCTGTTAGGGGCATATGATGAAGAAGAATCTGCTGCAAGAGCCTATGATTTGGCTGCAATCAAGTATTGGGGAACCACAACTTTCACAAATTTTCAGGTAAGTGACTTTTTTTAAACAGCAAATCTAATTAATCTACTGTTAAACTACTTTTAATTCCATGTATATATATCTAGGTGACTGACTATGAGAAAGAATTGGAGATCATGGAGAACACAACCAAGGAGGAGTATTTAGCCACCTTGAGAAGGTAGTATATACCTAGCTAATTATTATAATTTCAAGTGTTTATATTTTAATACAAAATGACGAAACTGTCCTTCATTCACAGGAGAAGTAGCGGTTTCTCAAGAGGTGTATCAAAGTACAGAGGGGTTGCAAGGTCATTCGCTTTCTTTTTTTCTTAAAATTCTTTCTTTTTTTCCAATTTAGTCAAGATGCTATAATTTCATTAACCACTCCACAGGCATCATCACAATGGTAGATGGGAAGCAAGGATAGGAAGGGTGTTTGGCAACAAGTATCTTTACCTTGGCACTTATAGTGAGTTTCCAATTTTACCCTTCACTTTAATTAGTGGTGATTAATTAATTTGATCATCTTCAGGTACACAAGAGGAGGCTGCTCATGCATACGATATTGCAGCAATAGAATATAGAGGAATCAATGCAGTAACAAATTTCGATTTAAGCACATACATAAGATGGCTGAGAACCAGTTCCAATTCCGGTGGCGGCTCCTCCCAGACACAAGACCAACCATCGCCGCCCGCCACCACCAGCCACCATGTGAATCCACTTATGGAGGAACCTCAGTTTGCTTTCGGTTCCAGTTCCGGTTCATTACCATTAGCGATGACTCCTCAGAACCAACAACTCCTTGACACAAAGATGATGCTGCATGATTCCGATTCCAATTCCAGTTCCAATCATAACGATTCATCACCTGCTCCGAGTGCTCTAAGCCTTCTTCTCAGGTCATCCATGTTTAAAGAACTCGTGGAAAAGAATTTGAATGCGGGGAATGAAGAAGAACATGAGACGAAGATGAAAACCGAAGGGAATGAATTTCGAGGGATGTTTTTCAACGGAATGTGTCCTTCAAAAGTGGGAATGGAATTGGATGCGAAAGATGAATTGCCATTGTTTAGGAATCCAAACCAGTCGCTATGGAATGGTTCCTTGAACATGAACAAGTCTTCTAGGCATTAATTAACAACATTACAAACTAGAAACATATAGATGAGTACTTGTGTTAATTTAAATAAAGGTTTTCAAGATTGTACACATTACAAATAAAACTTGAGATGAACAGGTTGGTTCGACGAAGGGCAAAACCGTCTATATAATAATATACACACCCTTCAAGAATTGGACATGAGTCCCAAGAGGTTTTGACCAGGTCGTACGGGAGGGTCTTTTGTCCGATGATGCATGGTTCGTACACCCTTGGGGACTTGTTTGGCAAGACGTATTACGTATAGTAGAGGGTTAAGCAGTGTCATACATCGTCGTAAGCCTTGGGAACAAGTCCTACAAAGACAATACCCATAGACCTTGAGTATACTTCTTATGTGGTGTCTTATACTATATACATATATAGGTGCCATTACACCTTCAGTAAGTAACATAGGTTCCTAGACGTGTAGTCTACTTATTTATTGTCAAACGAGTACATTGAAATTAAGAGACTTCCAAATATAACCACATTTGTACTTTGTACCTTCGGTGCCAAAAAAATACCCAAAGTTTTCAACAATGACCATTTATTCCCAAAAAAATACCCAAAGTTTTCAACAATGACCATTTATTCCAGAGAAGTTAGGTGTTCATTATTTAGATAAAACTGAATTAACATGAATATGATTGGATGATTTGGTTTAGATATTTTGATTTTTAGATTGGTTAAAACCTAATTATTAGTAATTTTGGATTTTAAATTGGTTTTGGTTTATATAATAGAAACTAAGTGTGAGACTCATGTATTATATGGATTTCTTTCAAATAAAAATTAAATATGAAATTCTAAGCATTTGAGAAGTTTGAATTTATAAGAAATTGGAGAAAAATGTTGAATTATTAAAAATAAAGTGTTTTCTTCTCTTTTAAATGTAAACAAATAATTTAGATAAATAAATAAAAGAAACTAACGAAGCATTAATTTAGTAATTTTGAAATTAAAGGAAAATCCATTAATGAAATTGATATGCATTTATTATTATATTTAAATATTATATGGAATTTAATAAAATAAAAAACCATAAAATTGACATGTGGAATAAAATTTAATTTAAAATAACCATAAAATTACATGTGGCAAAATGAATGAGAATGTGATATGAAACAAAAAGATCTTTATTTATTAGAATAGATTTAATAGTCTGAAAAAACATAATATCACTTTATTATTTAATTATTTATTTAATATATATTTTTAATTATTTATTATTTTAGTAAATTACTTTTTTCATATAAATTTAAAAAGTTTCACCTAATAAAAAAAGTTAATATTTATTTTTTCTTAAAAGTTTTTTTCTATAAACTATTAAACTATAATATATTTTATTAGTACTTTATGAATTTTAATCCACAACAAAATAATTCGTTTATGTTTCTTTTATAAAATTAGTTAATATTCTAATTATATGTGTTTTTAAAAAGTTATGATTCTTGAAAACTGAATTGTAATTTGGTTGGATCAGATTAAATTTAAATTTAGTTTGGACTATTCAGATTCATGTCTTGAAACCCGAAATCAATTTGGATTCATTTGATTGGATTGGATCAAACCAATCCATCCGAGCGAACACCCATAAACAAAGGGTGTGAGTTTTTCCCCTCAATTTGTTTTTTGAATCGACCTTAAAACTATCTTTTTACCGTTGGAAATGATGTACTTATAATCGACCCTAAAACGACATTTAAAACTAGTTTTTTACCATCAAAGTGATGTAGTTTTTGATAAATAATTCAACCACTTAACTAAATATTATTTAAGAAAAAGAAAAACAAAAATATTCCTTTTTCCTAATCATTTTCCAAAAAAAATAGCTAATTTCTTTTTTTTTAAATGATATTTTTAAATAATCATATTTTGTAATAACAAAAAAACAGAATAGTTTGTTGCCCATTTAAAATATTAACCCTTACATATAAATAAAAAATGCTAAGGAGCTGACTTTTTCAAGAAACTTCGAGTTGAGATGGCCCGCAATATGGACAAAAAAGAGAAGGGAAAAATAAACATGGGATCATAGATGAGTAGATAGGAAATCGTTGATGGTTATATGCAGGGCCGGCCCAAGGTAAGTTCAAGAGGTGGCCTTGAACAGGGCCCATCCTTCACCAAGGGGCCCAATTTTTTAGCCTAATGTAGTAGTACATCCATTAGGGCACTTCTCCTCTTCACTGAAAACCAAAACACGTTTTCATCCAAAACAAAGAGAATCAAAATTGAAAGTGGGATCATGATTAAAATCGATTTTAATACTGCCTCGTTTTCAGTCGCATGCATGAAGATAAAGCAATTGATGGTGGGGAACGATTCAATTCTTGGTAACGATCTCATAATCTTAGTATATCTCCAAATTTAAAATATCGCATCCTTCAAGGCTTCAGCAATAACAACAATTTCTGCATTTTGGATCCCCTGTTCTTAAAAAATCGTAGTCTTCAACACTCTTCTTGTTCTTGAATAGCAGCCTTTAACCATGACTCACCCTTATGTTAAAAAATCATTGTCTTCAGCACTTCTTCTTCTTTTCAAACCACAGGACAACAACATTGTTCTGAACTTATTCTCTTCTTTCTTGACATCTTATAAGTTGTAAGTAACCCAATATATCTTTATATCTTTTATTTTTATTTTTTTACATTTTAGAGTATGTTTTCGATTTAGATTTACCAGGTTTTTAGAGTAATGCATTTGGTTTATCAAGAGTCTAAGAGTTTTTGATTCCTTTATTTCTAAATAATATGATGTATTATACGTTTTTTTGATCATTCATCCTTTCTGGTTTTCGTTTTTAAGAGATAAATGTTGTATTTAATTATGATTTTAACATCTCTTCTAATTTTGATTTTTACAGAATTTTAGCTTTAGTAGGACAATCATCGAGAATCTAGTTTTATATGTTTTTTAATACGTAAACGACAAATAAGGTTACCAGTTCTAAATTATACAGATTTTGAAAGGGTAATTAACAATTACGATTATATCAGATCATCACTTTTGAATTTTAAATTCCTGTCATCCCAAATTTTATTTTTCTATCTTTCTGATTCAGATTATCACATTTCACTTTTTGTGAATTTGATTTGATTTTTCTAAGAACATGAAAAGAGAAAACTGCAAATAAGGTGTTATGCTAATACATCTATTATAAAAAAGTTGGATTTGAATAATAACAATTTTATAAGCAGAAAGGAGTTTTTTTTTTTTTTTTACCAATGTACCATCTGGAATGACATTTTGTCTTTTATATACGGTACAAGTTTAAATGATTAGAACTTTTACTGTTTATTTTTTTAGAATTTTCAAGATTTAAGGCCCTTTTTAACTAAATTGCACAGGGCCTCTAAATTCTCGGGCCCGGCCCTGGTTATATGTCATTTGCGATTCTGTGTCTCGTGAAATTGGCAAAGTGAAAAAAAAAAATTTATACCCTACTCGAAATTGTATGTCAGAAAATGAAATTGCAGGTGAGTTAGTGAAATAGGAGGCGCCTTGCCTTCATTTGTTTTTTGTTAGCTAAAAATGTCCATTTCAAAAGAAGATTATTAGGAAAACCGTCTATTTTTGTTTTCTTTTCTCATGTTTTTCAAGTTTTTTTTTTTTGAAACGGCAAATAATTTAAGTATCTTCTATAGGATTGAAACCATGACCTCCTAGTTAGTTGGTAGAATTAGCCCCCTTTTTATATTTCATCTTACTTCCTAATTATAGTTAAGCTTTAAATCTTTGTTATTTATTATTAACTAATTAATTTTTTAATAAATACTAAATAACATTTCATTATAATTGTCAAAATTATCGTATTGTAATATATATTATTTTAATTAAATTTTTTGCTGTGTAATATTTAATTTTAAAAAATTGATATTTTTGTAAATATGACAATTTTGGAAGATGTTTTATAATACAGTTCATAGTTCATATTAGATGGGATAGATTAGTAAATTATAGAAAGAAAAAACTTCATCTATTTTGGACAAGAAGGTTTTATAGTACATTTCAAAGAGGACCAAAGAGTTAGTACTCCTTCCAACAAACATTTCTAGGTAAACATTGTTATTATACAAAAATATCATCCATATCTTCATGTGAAGTTAGAATGAGCATATTGTTTTTTTACTACGTATAAACACTATTTCTTAAAGTATGCCGTGATGTAGTAAAATACATTCAACGATAAAATATTTTAGATGTTAGAAGAATATGAAAAACATATTTTCCTTGTATTGATGGTGATTATATCATCTAAAAATAAATTTAGACTTTGGAATCTCACTCCAAAGCCCCATGAGACAGAATATTATTCTCCAACAAAAATTCTACTGACGGATCATTTGAAAAATATAAAGCCCGACATTTGGGGATGTTATTAATTTAGTTAGATATGATTGCTAGACTATGACTATGATTAGTTAGATATTGTATAAATCTCATCACATCTAATGAGAAAGGCATGACGTCTTTGTTTTTTTGAAGCCAAAATGTATACAGTCTGCAGACCACATCTGCATGCCTCTGCTGCAGAAGAGGTGGACCAAATGTCTGCAGTCTGCAATAAGAAGATTGTTTGTTTTTAACGTCTGCAGCTGTTGAAATAAATTGATTTTTCAAACTTAATTTAATATCATAAACATTAAAAATGAATTTTTAGCAAAAAAAAAAAAAAAAAAAAAAAAAAAAAAACAGCACGGTGGCCCATGTTTTTTTTTGTTTAGGTTAAAATGAAGTCTGGAGACCTTCGAAGACAGTGGTCCATGTCTGCGCCAGGAAGACCTCGCGCATTTGATCTGCGCACTTCCAAAAAACAAACACTCTGCGATTGCATATGTTTGCGCGTTGTCTGCGCGGCGCAGACAAACGTGGTTGCACAGATCTTAACAAAAAAAACAAACAGCCCCTAAGTATTAAGTTCCCCATCATGCAAAATATCTATCAACGGCACATAACGAAATCAATATGAGTTACAACGGAATGTGTATTTCAAAGGTTGGAATGGAATTGGACAAGAAAGCTGAATTTACCATTGTTTCAAAATCCAAATCAGTCAACTATGGAATGGTTCATTGAACATGAACAAGTCCCCTCTAAACATTAACCATAAATAAACGTTTTCACTATTCTACACGTTACAAATAGAACTTCGAGGATGAGGGGCAATATCGTCTTTATATTAATTTGACCGTATGTCTCCTGGTCAACATTCTTGATTGTATTTGTTTCTCTGGATCTAAATTATCAGCAATCTCCTTTACACCATCAAGAGAGAGAATTCCATCAGATGAGAGATGACCATCAAACGACTTCCCAGCAAGCTTAAACTGTTTCTATAATTATAATTAAAAAAAAAATTATAAAAAACTGGGGAACATTCCATTAAATGAATTATAAAAAAAGTCAACGTTGAAGTCAAACCTGTGCAGTGCCAGATAACTTGTTTCCATCAGCCATATTGCAGAGGTACCACACTCCAAGATTAGTCATATCTTGTTTTTCTTCCAATGTCATTATCTTTCCATTCTAAAAAACCAATTAATAATAAAAACAAAATTTTATAAAAAGCAACAGAAAAATGTGAATTAACAAAAAATAATAATAACTCACCAAACCAGAAATCATTTTATTTAGTGAATCCAAATCATACCCTATTTGGGAAACATCAGCACGAACATCAGTCACCTGTTTTACAAATTCAACAAATCCGTTATATATTTATATTATTATATAAAACCATGTAATATTAGTGTTTAACAAATCAAATGTACCTCGTTTTTAATTAGTTTTGATATTTCAACTTGATCATCCAATTTCCCATCCAAATTCTCAATCCTCTGGGTTAAGTGCCTCTTTGCTGCCTGATTAAACAAAAAACAAAAAATTAAAAAAATAAATAAAAACTATGAATGTAGACATGATATGACGTAATTAAAAAGAAAAATAGTTTTTTATGCTTCAAAACTTACAGCGAGAGCATCTGTAACTTGTTCTAGATTTTTTTGTCAAATTTGAAACAGCATTTGCCATGTTACTCTTGGTGACATACATGAGGTCTGAAAATGAAACACCCTAAACACAAGATTTGAGAGAAAAAAAAAATTTGTCAAAAATTTGACATAATGTTTGACAAATGACAAATGAATTGAAAAACATTTTTTGTGTGAATCAAAAGTCAAAACAAAGCAATACGCATATACCTTCCACCACATGTATCCATAGCCCACTGCACCTAATGCAGCAGCAGGTACCACCATAGATGTTATATTACCTATATTTTATTGTAAGATGTAAGATTTACATTACAAAAAAAAATGGAAATTAGAATTTAACCAAAAAGTGACTTTTTCAATGACTTTAAAACAGTGTAGAACATACCACTAGAACCCCCATTTAAAACAGTGATTTGATTTTGACGTGAAGAAGCTAGCTGTCTAACTTCCATTGCTAACCTTCGAACCTGTTTTTTTTTTTTCAGAATTAAATTCGATTACCGTATACTTGTAAACAAAGTATAGAAAAGTTGAAATTTTGAAATTGCTTTATTGAAAACTAAAATTTTACATAAACAGCTTATGGATAAAACAATACCTGGCTAGCGATGGCATCTGAATAATCTCCTTCAGCTCCATCTCCTTGTTTTCCCTCATATCCTTTCACTAAACCCTGTCCAATTGAAACTCTATTGGAATTAAAACCTAATCAGAACTTCAAATTTTGGTCTTTGGAAAACTGAATCACTTGAGATCACATGAATGTCAAATTGGCTAAATAAGCATCGAATTGATAGCATCGTTTACCTGAAGTTCGCCCAATACATCAGAAAGCTTCCCGTTTTTAAACAGCAATGTACCAGTGTACCCTGCACACAAAACAGATCCATATGTGCATCAAATTAACGACTCTCTTACACATTATATCTCTCGAACTCACAACCTAATGATTGTATAGACTTGATTAGCACCATTGGCGCAAAAACCACTGTAAGGTAGAATATATAATATGATCGATTTGATTAACATATATGCAGTTGAAGATTATAAATAGGTATGCAACAGATGGAGGGGTATGATTGTGTAAAGAAAAAGAAACCTGTTCCGACTAAGATGATGATCTTATAAAACCCCCATGCCAGCATGCGTCGCCATAGCCGCTGTGCACTCCTTCAGGAACGAAATCAAACCCTCGTTTCCGTCTGATGAAGAACACTGACCGCTGTTCTAACGCCATGCCAAAACGTCATCGTCAAAGGTTTAGCAGCAGCCGCGTGATAGATCCACAATGTTTGGGCCTAATAATTGAACCTGGGCCTGAATTTTTCGGGCTTTTTTGTTTGTATTGTTTGAAGGAAGTAAAAGGTAAAGGCATAATTTTAAAAAGATTTATTATTTGAGCTATTTATTAAATCACTATATATGCATTTGATCTCTTTTTTTTTATTTATAAAAAAATGATCATCCATCAACAAGATAGTAGTACCTCGCGAGTTCGTAAGGAGGGTCCACTTTCCCATAAAGTAACCTCGCAAAATCTTTTTGATGTCCTAATATTTAGCAAATGATAGCTCTCATCTATTAATCTGTGAGTTTTACCCAGTTGAACCTTAGATGATAAATGTGTGCTCATATGATAAACTGTCTTTTCATAAACCATGTTGATATTATGTAGAGAAACTTATATTAAGTATATATGAAATGATCCATCATCCATGAATATAAAAGAAGAGTCAGAATAAATCTTTAATGTTGCAGAAAGCAAACAAGCAAATTAAAATGATCCATAAACGTTAAAGAAGAGTTGGATAAATCTTTAATGTTGCAAGAAAGGACCAACAAGCAACTTAGAACGATTTATATCGCATCATTTGTAGTGAAAGAGCAATTGAGCAACGATTAACTACTAGCTAGATGTGATCTTATAAAAGGACAAAAACAACATATAATGTTGGCCAAAACAAGACTATGATTAGTGAAACTGTTTGCTATTTTCATTGAACATATATTCCACAGCAAAAATGGAAAAACAACCCATTGACATTGACATCCATTCCTATATTAACTACAACAGAGGATTTGGAAGATATTTTTTCAATTTGATTTACTCTCAGAAAGGAACAATAACAACTATGAAAATCCACAAGAACAAACACTACCCATGAGCCAACCATTGCATTATATCATTACGAACAACTCCATTAAACCCAAAACTCTTCTTGCTGCTTGAAACCATATCTCTGTACTGCATATTACTCGCAACAAGCTCTCGACGCCTCAACAACTTCGCAATAGTCGGATATGTTGTAAGCCAAAGATTTCTCGACGATGTAACAAGACGCCTTCCAGATTCTCGATACCCAAATCCTCCTCTACTTTTCTGTTGAAATGATTCTATCAACTGCATGTTTCTGTTTGGCATTCTCATCGTGTTCCTCACATATGGGGCAAAACTTCCAGCTCGAATCTGGGTCACCGGTTCCATCTTCTCAAGCCACTTGAGAATCCAATTGCCCAGATTCCGACCGATTTCAATGTCTCTCCGTTGTACCTCGCGATGAACCTTCAGTGTTGCATCAAATACAGTTCGAGTTTTCCTGTTATACAACAGATTTATAATCAAATTGAGTAATTAACCCAAAACCTAATCGACGATCGATAGAATTTATAAATATCAAAAGCTAAAGATTGAGAGATAGACACCTGTGGAGGAATTGACGGATCTTGGGGTGTTTAGGGCTAACAAGACGACGTTGAATGTGAAGAGCAAGCCTGTATGTTCTCTTTAACCCTAAGAAATACGCTGTCCCTAATGTAATTTCCCATAGCACCATTGTTATGCAAGAAGATCTTGGCTGAATTCTGTCTATGTAGTAGAAATAGAATAGCGTCCCATTACTTTTCTTTCCCTGTTTCGTTTTCCCCAAGCCAACTTCGTCACTGCTTACAAACGTCCATGTCTTTCTAATTTGCGTTAACAGGTAGTGGAAGTTTGGTTTATTGGACACTATCGCTACTTACTAAAGTCCACAAAAGAGGCCCAAAATCGCAAAAGCCCGTTCTCCAGACTTACACTTTCCTTAATTGGATATTCATCTTCAAAACACTTAGGTTGTTGGATGTGGTTCTAACTTCTAACACCACATCAGTATAATCTAATCCACCTCTTCGGCATCATCACACCACATCAGCTCCACATGAATGGGGCATGGTGATCTCTTGAGTGATAGATGTGAAGAAGAAGCAATCAAGAAAAAAAGAAAATAGAAGGTGGTGAGGAAGGGGAATGAGGATGGTCGCGAGAAGCCACTCAATATCAGCATCATTTGAGAGGGGGGTGGTGTTCACCTGAGTGATGGGTGGCTACATAAGCATGATGTGGGTGGCATGATGCCCATATTGTATTGCCTTAGGCTAGATGTTATATACCCTTCCCACACAAACATCGATGTCCTACCTACCATTTACGTCCTATGTAGAGTGATCATTCTTTATTTTCTCTTGTTTTTTGGTTTTGTTTGTATTAAAAAATGGGTAAAAATGATAAATGGTATACCTAGCCTCCGAGAACCTTATAAGAGATTTGATTTGAAGGAATGTGAGAAACGAAGACAATGATTTGACTATTGAGATCCCAATCGACGTGCATCAATGTAAAATAGAACTATTGAATCACAAGTGACTCACTCCCTTTATTTTATGTTTATATAAAATTAAATACATAACACACTCATAACCATATTGAAACATCCCAAAAAAACAGACCAAAAATTTCTTTTTAAAATCATTTATAATAAAACCATAAGTCATCCATCATCATAAAAAAAATCATAAATCGTGTATCTCAAAACATCGTGTCAAAATACTGTATCAAAATCATTTGAGAAAATATCAGAGTCTAAACATCCCAGGCTGAAACTGTGGTATGTGTCATGCGATCATCCCGAGTCATTCCCCTTGCTAATGGAAGTACCTGAAACCAAAACTAAAAACTGTAAGCACGAAGCTTAGTGAGTTCCCCAAACTACCACATACCATACAAATATCATGCAACTAGGAGATACGGGCCCCGCCCACTCTCATGGAGATTCGGGCCCCGCCCACACTCTGTTGTCTAGGAGATTCGGTCCCCGCCCACACTCTGTTGTCTAGGAGATTCGGTCCCCGCCCACACTCTGTTGTCTAGGAGATTCGGGCCCCACCCACACTCCGCTGTCTAGGAGATTCGGGCCCCGCCCACACTCAACTACTAACATATCACATATACGGGCCGACCTTGGTGTCGTAGACCCGTTCCTACTGAAGGAAACTCACCTCGCAAGACTGACTGTTGAAAACTCGAGTGAGAAATCCCCGTCTGTTGCTCCGGTGACTCTCCGACTATCAATTCCATAATAACACTTAATCAGAATCTGCTAATCCCTCTAGGGTAAAATGACCATTTTACCCCTGGTCAAAGTCAAAGTCAACTCCCAGTCAACCCAACTCGGCGAGTCCATGAAATACTTAAACTCGTGGTCAACTGAGTCAACTCGTCGAGTCCCTTAACAGACTCGTCAGTTTCTTTCTGTCATAATAATCGGGTCAACCCGCTTCAACTCGTCGAGTCCTTCCCTGGACTCGCCGAGTTCCCCTGTCTGATTGAGCCATCCCAATGGATTAAGCTCCTACCATTCAGATCTATGTTCCAAACTTCATCTACATACTGGGAATACACTCTTAAGGATAAAGTTTCCAACTTTACCCGTCCTTATTCCTTCCTAATGGGTTTAACCCAAACCCTAACTTTCTTAAGAAATAAATATTGGTCCACAAGCCATAATACCCTAAACCAAGGCACAATATACTAGATCTAGGTTCTTATCATTTGTGGGACACGTAAAGTCCCGAGCTTTCCTCCCATGCATGGTCTTTTAGGGCTAAAAGGCCATGTTCTTGCATATAAGCTTGCATGGGGTATCCATGGTCATAAAGTTTGCACCTTTATGCCATGGAGCCCTTCCTAGACCCCAGATCTGAGATGTAAATCACTTGGGACGTCCCAATCCCAAGGACTAAGGTTCTTGAACCAAATCCTTCATAAAATGAAAACAAATAGATCTAAGAGAAGAAATATCAAATTAGGGACTTGATTACCATAAAATGTAGTAAATGGAGTGTAGTTCCTGGATCTACTTCTTCCCCTTTGAGCCTTCTATCTTCTTCTTCTTCCACATGCTTCAAAAAGCACACATAACACTCAAAATGGCAAGGAATAGCTCAAAATCACTCAAGGTAGATTAGGGTTTCGAGATTAGGGTTTGGAGGTGAGAGAGGCTGGGGTGGAGGCCAAATATGATGTTTAAATAGGGTGCAAACCCTAAAGATTAGGGTTTCCTCCTGATGAACCTACTCGTCGAGTCAAGGCTTCGACTCGTCGAGTAGACCACTTAAACCCCGCGACCAAGTTGGCATCTACTCAGCGAGTTAGGGCTACCAACTCGTCGAGTAGCTCTTACGAAAATGAATACTTTAATAGATTAAATGCGTACCAGGAACAGGGCGTTACATATATATGGTTAAACGGAGTGGAGTCGATGACATCCACTCCACCTAGATAAAATCATGTCATGGCATTTCAATATCATCTTCATTGAGTGGTGTTGATTGTAGATGTATGGAGGGTGTGATGCATGCGCTTATCGTTCAAAGCATGTCATCGACGTATGTCGGCATCATGGGATGGTGTATGCCGCCAACATCATGTGCCAAATCGGATGCTCCACACCATTTATTCTAATGTCATGTTTTCATGACCAAAAGTGTCATTATTGTGTTGACCAAGAAAATAACGATTGTGTCATTTGGTTGTCTGCCTATCAAG